ACACTCACAAATATTTAATCTATGAGTTCCATTGATTTACATACAAAGTAAAAATTACCTGAAATTTGTTCCTTATGGCTGTCTTGTGTGCTGAAACTCTGTGATAAATGATTTTCAGGTTGAAAATCTACAAGCATATGAAATGAAAAACTATATTAGTTATGCCGTCATTTAATCTTTGCTTATCTATATGTCTATGAAAGCTATTTATGAAGGAGAATTGATTCATGTATTGAGCATTGATGGAACTGATTCTGCCCCTTTGGGGTAAAAATGCTACTTTTCTAGATTAAGTTCAAAGTATGGTTGGAATATGTTACACTAGTTTAGCTAAATTGATTGATTGAAATACTTACTGAGCTTTGGATTGTTACAGGTAAAAGCAACTAGAGGCAGCATACTTATTTTTAGGAGCCTAGGAAGCATCTACTAGTCCAAGTGAAAGCCTAGAGCTAACCTTTGTAAGACAAATTTAAACTCATGCCAAAACCTAGTCCTAGCTCACTGATTTTGTGTCGTGTACCTGTGATGTATATGATATCAATGATTTTTGTAAACGCTTAAAGCTACCCTAAGGTAACATTTTGGCAACTTATGAGCTTCAAAGACTCTTGAACTTGTGTATAATGGAGTGTCCTGAACTGTCTTAAACAGATTTTAGAGATTGTCAAAGCTAAATGCCTTTGCTTTTACTTGAGTTATTAGTTCTAAAATTTTGAACTGTAGAGCTATTGAGATTTTTGGCACGCTGGTTCTTGAACTAATGCACTTATCCTCTTTCTGAGAGCAAGTTCATGTGTAAATTTATTTCAAAACAGTTTGAGATGTCAGCGACCTTAAGCAAAACCTGAAGTATTTTGCTAAATTGAAATTTAGACATTTGCTACTTAAAAGTACAAGAACCTTTAATTTACAATTGAAACCAATTTTCCAGCTAAAATTCAGATTTGGGATTTGACATCTAGAGAGCTATATGTTGTCATACACTCAAGTAATGAAATATCGAAATTTGATTGTTGGGGTTTTTGATTTACCCTAACCCCAAAAATCAAATCCCTTTTCTTCTTTCTCCCTCGATCAAGAAAGAATGTTTCTAGATCTCTTGTAAGTTAGATTTCAACGAAGTTAATGCAGTCTGAGCGGAATGATTTATAAGAATTCCTACTAAAAGGGAAAAAAAATTAATACCTGGTGCAGATTGCTTCTTTAATGTAATCCACTGGTTGGTTGTTGCTTGCTTTTTCTGAATCCTCAGGTAAATCTTTGACGGTGATTTTGTGAAGATTGAGAATGAAGAGGATAAACTTGTAGCCACGGATAGGCTTATATAATTAATCAACCAACATCTGAATCCTCCATGACAAGAAAATGAAATCCAAAAATGCATCGAAGTACTCTTACATTCTTGTCCACTTCAGGAAGTAAGGAAGCCAAGTACCAAAAAAGCAAGGCATCTTACAAAGAAAAAATGAAAATGAAGAAAAGACCAAGAAAGTAAGGCATGAGGCATCTTACAAAGCAAAACTGAAAATGAAGAAAAGAACAAGTAGAGAAGAAGCCAGGGATCTCACCTCTTGGCTTGAATGTCACAAACTCACGCATGCTGTTGCTGGTGCTGCTTGCAAGTTGCAAGTCAGATTTCGAGTCTTGATAGTCCTAAGGATCAAGGCTCTGCTGCTAAATGGTAATGCCATGATTAACTGTATTGATGAATGAAAATTTTCACTATTTCCCATTACACTTGCCTTGGATACAATATGTAGCTCCTGAATTGAGATTAAAATCACTGCTACTTTATATTGTTCATCTCTAGTTAAAGAGTGAAAGGGTCAATTATTCTGTTACGAAATTTTATTTAGATTTTTAGAGCACAGAGTCCACACCATGCGCAAAAACAGAAGACTAGATAAATAGTTGCATTGGTTGATTGCCAACTGCAAAAATCATACATCATAGCCAAGTCATGATTAGGATCTAAAGAAGAAAATCAAATCTAGTTTCTTATTTCTAGTTGTAACCTCAACATTGAGTCACTGATCTCATCAAAATTTTCAAGTTAGGATTTGGTCTCAGTTTCAAAGAATTCCTTTTAACCCCTTTCTTTTCTTCCCCATATTTCCTCGTTTTATTATTTTAACAAAGCCATAAGTGGCAACCCGAACAAAATGAAAATACAACACTGTACAAATTTTTACTGAAATGAATGCTAAACTGCATTTAGTGAAACCTTAATCTAAAATGGAATTCAAGCTGGTTGATCGAAAATTCTAATTTATTTAGCAACAAACTGGATTACAACATTGTAACAGCCAAACTACTCCAGAACAATAATAAATGATCTCAAACGGATTCATTTTACCAAAGAGAAGTATGTTACATAACTTGCAAGTTGCAATGAAAGCAGTATTTAGCATCAATTGACTAACACAACACTCCGACTCTTGGTCAAGAAACAAAAATATTCACTTCTTTGCAATTGGTGCCAGTATCAAACTATCTAATAGGTCAAAATGGCAAAACCAGAAACAAAAAAATTCCGTCAGTGAGGATTTAGATTCCTTGCTTACAAATTTGTACCGGTCTGCCCAACTATCCATCTTGGACATCATCCTTGAGTAACAATCTGAACTTTAGAATCTTGTGAAGCCAAGCTATTGGTTTTACTTGCTTTCTTGGAGTTTGATTTGGTTCTATTATACATTTTTCACTGTAGAGGTTTGCTTCTGATGGCCCAGTCTCTTCATGATCCACTGGTGCAGCTTCTGCAAAGAGAAATTCAAGCATAGTTAGCACACCCAATTCAGTTTCCCTTTTTTTTAAAAAGAAAGAAAGAAAGAAAGAAAGAAAATACAAGACAAGAAATCCTCGTCCAGTGGTGTATCCATCATGCAAGAAAGACAAACAGAAACATAAAAAATTGAAAATTCATTTTGGCATTAATTTCTAACTCATGAAAAGGACAGGTTTCAGGATGCTCAGAAAACGCTTGGCTTACTGTCATTAATATGCTGTGAAACAGTGTGTGAAATGTTGGGAGGGAGAAATCAACCCCAAAATAATCAGAACAGTGTAATAGACATCGTCCACTATCTCACAGATCCCATTGATATCAGATAAGCTTAATAGAAAAAGAAACACAACTCACTATCTTCAGAGAAAACAAAGCAAGTCCTAGTTGTTTCTTCATATTCTCCAATCTGTAAAAGGTGAAGAATCTAAACCAAGAAGACCAAATTCAAGGAATTAGAAACCAATTCCCAAAACTTAAAAATGTAAATCAATGGGAACTAACTAAATCAATTTCAGCATTCAGTCCATTAAATTATTGACAGCACCTGAACGCTAATGTATATGCTAAGTATTGTTTGGGGATCAAATCATAATAAATTTTGGGGACATACTGACAATGTAGCCCAAAATTAAAAGCTATACACAGCACAATTTGTGCCCTTGAATCTTGAAAGTTCTGGGGGATCAACACCAATAACTATGAGATGTTTCTACAATGTTACAGCATATGACAATACATCTTGTGCTTCACCATGAGGATTAGAACAGAAAAATGTCCTTCAAAGAGGAGATTAGAATGGAAAACCCTTTTAATTTAGAAAGAGCTAATCAGCATAATGACATCATATTATCCAACTGCAGTCTACAAGAGTAATTTGTAACCTAAACAGGCTGTAGCCTTTCTCTTCTCAATAGTAAATACCAGGTTTATCAGAGCAGTAAACCTTACCAACTTAATTTTGTCATCTATAATCAACAGCGGATTTAAAGTGTCCAGACCCTGCAATTTAAAATAAAAATTCCAAATCATAACATTGTGAAATAACAGGGAGAAAAAACCATAAAACCAATCCAAAGAACAAATCATCCGAA